GGGGTGGGAGTGGGAGTGGGAGTGTGAATCGGAGTGCTGTTGTTATGGATCGAATGGTAAAAGTGCACGCTGCTTGGATGAGATGACACAGGAGCTCCTTGAGCTGCAGCCTGACTCTGAAGTGCCATTCCTAGACAACCACCATAAGGATGAGAATTATTCATGGACATTTGCTCCTCCATGAGCACCAGCTCCTCCACAATGCTATCCTGGGTAAGGTCATCGTCAAATGAAAAGAAGTTTTCGTTTGACTGAGGGACTGTATGTTCAAACTCTTTCAGCTCAGACTGCAGAGGTAACTGATTTGAAGACTGTGCTTGTATTTGACCCAAGGACGAGTCCTGGATCTGGTTCTGTAACTGCTGGTTGTAGGCATCCTGCTGGATACCTTCGCAGTGCACTGGCTCCCATGCCGACTCCTGTAAGTCACCAGAGCCAGCGTGCCCTGCAATAGCCATAACACTGATATCTTGCTGCTCTTCACAACTCACAGATGCAAAGTCGGAGGTTTTGGTGATATGGTGCCATGTATTTGGGTTAAAGCTGCCATCAGATTTTGAATCATTTTCTATGATAAACATGTTTCCTTCCAATTTTACTTTTATATCTGGAGACGGTGCTGATTCAAGCTGCTGTCCCAAAGCAGAATCACTAGTATTTAAACTGGTGCTCAAAGAAAGGTCTGGTGCCAAGTTTGTTGCAGCTGCAGAAGGTACAGGTGCCTTGCTGGGAACTTGAACAAGAGCTGCTGTATTGTCACTGTTAGCTAATGATCCAGCCTTCGGAGACTTCTTAACACTGTTTGCTTTTTGACCCTCCACAGCATTACCAGCTGCAATCTGTTCCACCAGTGGTTTCTTTACAGGTGGTACCTGGGAATCCTGAAGTGTAGAAGCCTGTCGCTTTCTTGGACTTCTAGTGCATGTTTTCTCTTTAGTCATAGACTCACTAGTAGGAGGTGAACCAATGCTGGTGCTGGACACGTTTTGACTGGCAACTGAGAGCTTTAGAGTGCTTTGATTATTGCCTGCTGAAGAAACTGGTGTGATCTCATTAGATTGTGTTTTGTATTTGGTCCCTGCTTCCTCAGCTTCCTGATCACAGCCCTTAACTGGTTTTGCCTCCACGACATCATCAGCTGAAACCTTCAAGGTTGCAACCTCAAAATTAATTAGTTGAGCAGGAGGCAGGTCAGGGGTTGCCTTTATGGATTTAGACACATCAGAGCTCTCTTGGCCTTGTACTGAGTTCTCGTCCAGCAATGCTTCTGGTTCCATTTTGATCTTGACTGCAGGTGCTGCTACAACAGCACTAGGCTTGGATCCTGGAGACTGAAGCGAAACTACAGATCCATTTTTTATCTGTGGACCAGTCCTCCCTTCTTCCACAGCTCCTGCACTACTGCTAACTGAAGGCGTCTGTTTGATGGGCACGCTGCTGCTGCTTGGGGCAAGAGATATTGCTGTCATTTTTACCACATTTAAGGAATTCACATGTGGAGCTGGCACAACAGTCTTGATTGGGCTACTAGTAAAAAGCACCGTCGTGGGAGAGCGGATGGTGAGAGCACTGGTATTTGCTGGCTTCGGTAAGATCTGTGGGTAGCGATGCCGGGCAGAGCGGTCACCAACTGGGCTGGCAGGAACGTTCTGGGGAGTCTTTGGTGACTGCTTGACTGATTGCATGTGCTGAGTGACCACCTGAACGTTGAGTGGCAGGACCTTGCTATCGGACGATCCCATAGGACTTGGAGACGTCACCAACTGCCTGGTCCTTGGCACCTGAAGAAAGAGAAAAAGAAAAGATGTAGCAATGAGCAAGGAAGTCCCCAAAGCCCACAGGCTACCTCATCTCCAAGCATCTCAAAGGTGAAGGACAACACAGCTCAATCCACCAAAGCTAGTGAATGTCAGTTTGAAACAAAACAAGCTCTTCAACTATATACAATACAATTTCTATCTGTCCGCCTAAGGATTGATAGACAGATACGTGGCCTCTACACACTGGTCTGCTCTTCTGCTAATGAAGGGGTCATTCTCACACAATCCTTCATCACATGGAACAAAAAGACAGACATACAAAGGTTAAAGAGGAGAGGATGTGTTCAAAACACTGCTCATTGTTAAGATTTCAAAAGCGAGTTAAATACAAACCCACTGTCAGGCAGAAAAATTGGCTTACCTATTGAAATTGACAACACAGCTGACATCTTAAAACCAAATAACCTTCCCCCTCCCGCCCAGTTTGGTATGGCTGAAAGACAAAGATGTTCCATACTACAGACAATCATGCAAAAATAAAATTGTGTTATTAAAAAAAAACCAAACAAAAAGTGTTAAAAAAAATGGTGCCAGGCCAATGAAAGGCAATTTAGATTCCATATTAGGGACACAGCAACCCACACAACAGGTGTCAGCTCTCTCGTCTGGTTAAACTTAATCTCAAGGGCAATTATTCCCACATATAACCTTAATTATTGCTAGCTGAAATCCCACTGTCAACAACTGCAAAGATGACCTCGGCCTATGCTATGTGACCAGAATTCTGCTGCCCCTGTATCAGTCCTGTAACTCATGTGGTATAACACAGTCACTGGGACAGAAAAGCATCAAGGGACCCAAGCCTTTGAATGGAAACCATTTTTCTATCCCACTGACACCACTGCTTAGTTACTGGCAATTTACAACCCTTTCACAAGGTGGTTTCTTTAGAGAATTGCTGGACGACGTTACCGGTATCGGGCTGGGGACAGCTGCCACAACAATGCCAATCGGCGGAGGAGACAGAATTGCAGGACTTCCATTAGATATACTGGTCACACCGTTGGTTGCGGTGCCTTCCGTTTTCTTTGCTGGAGACTCTCCTGGCAAAGGGGACTGCAGTTTCTGTTCTTGCTGTTTCTTCTGGATCTTACGCTGCAGCTGCTGCTTGGCATCAACAGGAGATGGCAGAGTTTTCACTTGTGGTTGAAAGGAATTACTTTCAGCAGTGGGTATAAAAGCTGAGGGCTGGGGGATCCCTTTTATTCCTGCATGCAAAAGAAGAAGAATGAATTATAACCACACATACCCTTTCTGCTGTAGTGCCGCTTCTGTATCTGACCACACAGAATACATGGCAGGCATCTTCACAACCATTCTGGGAACACCTCCTCCACAAGGTGCTCACATCCACTTCATGCTCAAATCTATTCAGTGTCTCAGTTTATTTCCACGTTTGTGGCAAAACCTCTATCTGTTAGACAAGCTGGGCATTAGCTGCTAAAATACTAAATACATCTTGTTTTTAGTAATCTCAAAACTGCAATTTTTGTGTCAGCAGAAATCTAAAAACCAACGCATTTCATTTAACTGACAGCAGAGGGCAGCGGATATGGTAGTTCGTCATCTACTGCGTTTTGTTTTGTTATCAAAACCTAAGGCGCTGTGGGTCTGTGTCACAGACAAGCAGATGATACAGTCTAATGGCCACGGCATTAAACACAATGTGTATAACATCAGAATGGGTCACAACCTGTGTGATCAGGGATAACGGTGAAAGAAGAGCAGTAACAGAAGTGTCCAGGGTAAAAAAAAAAAAAAAAAAAAAAAGGAAAAGGTAAAGGTAAAAGGAAAAGGTAAAAAAAAAACAAACCAAAAGGAAACTGGAATGGGAGAACACTTTTACATTTTTTCTGGAGACAATGCCTTTGCTGATCACAAGCAAGTGATGCTTCCAGGGAGAACAACAGGGAGTCAGTCTCATCCGTGCAGCTGATACCAATTCCATTCACAAAATCACATCACATTTATGATCTTTTGTTTATTAACAGTCAAGAGGATTAGCATGCTCTCTATCAACTAACCCCGTTGTACTGCCCCTCTAAAAATGCTTTAGCACCATTTCATTTGCACTTCGCAGATTTCACAGTTTTTAACATAACTCTTAATTATAAATTAAGGAACACCATTTTAGGGCAAGTATTTGGTTTTAGATACCAAGTACATGTTTAGGAGCTGTGGTCTGGGAGCCTACTCTCTCAGCAGCAGTCTGGATGTACTATGAGAGCTTGAACACTGCAACAATGCTTTCACTTTCACAATTCCATCTTCACAGAGTAGTGAAATGCCCAAGTATATTGCAATGACTGGAAAAACAAGTCAGCTATGTGGGCTGAATACTGAAGGCAAGTAACCTTTATGAGAAAAAAATTCAAAAAATTTTTCTTTGAGGGTAAAAAGTTTGCTTTTTTTCTCAGTTAAGGCACAGAGACACTGTAGCTCCTTGCAATAAAGAAGAATGGGAATATTTTATTTGTCATTCTATAAAGAACCTCTCCTGAAATGACTACCTAAGGCCTAGAGGCATGTGCTGGAAATAACTGCCCTTCTCCTTGAAAGAAACCATCTTCTCTTGAAGGAAGTAAGGGGGAGAAGCTACATGAGTTGAAGAGCTGTACGTATACCTAGCGTTCCTTCTAGCAGCACAGCAAGCAGAAATAATGAAGCCAAGCAACAACTGGTAAAAAAGGAGCATACAGGCAGCAAAACCTGCCACTGCCACCCATCACTTCCAAGCTGCAATAAAGGAAAGAGAGCTGGAAGGAGAAAGAACATGATCCAAAAAGGGATCATCCCAACCTACAGCCCTGACCACCAGTTTCCATTTGAAATTGCCTATCTCAAGTCAAAAGATTTGCCTTGCTCCAAACACATTTTGCTTGACAAGTCTGGGCAGAATTTCACAGAGGGATGTCTGGGGGGGGAATGTTTTGCACTTCCCTCTCCATCCTTCATTTTTGTAATTTACTTGATCTACAACTACAAAAAACACCAACCCATCTTAAATGATTGACTGATTTTGAGAATGAAGAGGGAAACAACACAAAAGTAGAAGTACAAACAATCACATCAAATGTAAGCTTTCCCAGAGACGGAATAGAACTGAAATTCATCTGGTGTAACAAAATTCTTCTTTTTACCTCAATCCTTAATGAACATTTGAAATCAAGTGCTGGAATCTCAGTCACACAACTGCCCCTGGAGAAGGTTCTCCTATTTCTAATGGGATCAATAACAACAGCAGCTGACATGCTTGTACTACCTAACACTGGTCAAACATCTCAGGAAAATTTGCATCTGACATATCAGAAATGCCTGTAAGAAAATCTGCTCTTGAGAGGGAAATCAAGCCAGACAATTGTTTCCAAATTAGGACAAGTTATCAGACAGAAACACAGCTACACCAGCAGTTTGTCTATAAGCCACCACTGTACTGGCACCAAACTCCTGATCTAGCAAAGTACATAAATTCAGCACAATTACCCACATGCTTAAAGTTTACCATGTCCTGAAATGACTTTAAAAGACCAAGGTCCTCATCGGAGGAATGGCAGAATCACAAACTAAACCTGAGACCATGGCTTATCTTCAGATCTCTTTACTGGACAACCTGCAAGAAAAATAATTTGCAGCAACGTGGACTAAAATCATAGAAATGCATGCTCAGTGCTCAGAGTCAGTGTTTAAAGTTTGCCCTGAAGAGAAGTGCTTCCTCAAACCAAGGCGTTACTACTCTTTAAAAAAAAATCTCCTATTTCATCGATTAGACATTAAGTTATCTCATTACCTCCTGGTGCCCCTGCCATTACTGTTAAAGCTGCCATTGACTTGGTACCAATATAGTGACTCTTTACAAGGAAACGAGCCAATTCCAAGACTGTATCAAAAGGCTGGCTCAGCACTTTCTGGGCCCATTCACAAACAAGCCGGCAGGCCGCAGAGACAACTTCTTCATCAGCACTTTGCAGCTGCCCAGACGGCTCTGCCCCATCCAACTAAAACAAACAAACAAAGAAGGAAAGGTTACTTTAATTATCAAGGGTCATTAAGGCATAAAAACAAGAACAGAGAACAAATGATGATCAGAAACACACAAAAAGTTGAGTATGTTCAGTTTTTCATGAAACTGTGTGAATGAGATGACATCATCAGTATCATTCAAAATGAAATGCCTTAACATTAATCTACTGCCTGTTTCCAAAGGCATTATATGGAGCTGACATTTCTGGAAGAAAATCACAGAGAGAATCCTAATATCTGGACCACCAACAATTGATGCTCCCTGCATCCAAGGTCGTGCCAACTCAGCAGCCACTGTTACTCAGGGACTGCTGCTTTCACTGGGGTTCCTTTTTCTTTTTTTTTTCCTTGTCCCAAAAATATACAAATATATTTATAAAATATACAGTATAAAACCAAAACAGTATCAGAGTTAAAAAGATTTAGCTTGTGGGTGGCAACACTGTGAAAGTCTGCTTCACCTCCTGAATTAGTTTTTATAATAGAAAAATCTTAAAAGCTACACAGATCACAGAATCACAGGATAGTAGATCTTCAATTTGTTTTGAAAACTTCAGACAAAAAAATAAATTGCAGAAATATGTATAAATAAGCAAGTATATATCATACCCCATCTCCAGTTTTATGAAAGTCAAGGTTGGGCAGTGTTGGCATATGCACAAAAGCCTTCTTCCTCAGTCCACTGTAGCAATATGTGAACAAGAATTAAGGTTTAAACTGTGTCTGCTTGTTAGTTGGGGAATAGGAGGGAAGTGCACTAATTCCTCTGATAACTCTCATAAGCTTTTAAGCAAATTCAACAACAGATCTAAGAATTACTGTCATTAACATAGTCTCAAAGCCAGCCAGAATCAAAAGCCTACAAACAGCTGCATTCTTGGGCACATTGTTGGGCTTCTCTATCTATGCAGAGAAGCAAGTGATGCTGGGTGTGATAAATCTGATAATGCCTTAGAAAAACCATTAAACCACACCAAGTAGTTTAAATTAGCTACTAATATTTAAATCATTAACATAAATTTCGACTAAAATCCTTTCCTAAACCAGGCCTAAAATGACATGGAGAATGCATTTACAAAAGTTAATCACTATTAAAAGTTCCCAAATTTAGGTTTCACTTCATTATGAGGGCGTTTTTTTGGTCTCTTTTTGCTAAATTTCCTGACCTTTCCTTTTCCTAAAGGACTTCCACAAACCAAAGTTCCCCATGACAAATGACTGATGAGGTCATTTCTTCCTAAGATCTGACACAATTTTTATGGCTCTCTCCCCACCCATGATATAATTCTTCTTATTTGCTCTTACACTAATCAAATCAGTACAGAAAATATATTCCCTCCATTACTCTTACTCACTTGTTTATAGTTATAAAAAACCAAATCAGCCTTTTTTACTCTCCACAGCATTACTCTGGGAGTCCACATACACAGTCTCTTCTCTGTGACACACAAACCCTTTTCAGGATCACTAATTTTTCACCTTCTATAAATATTTCTCTCTTATAGACTATGGAGTTTGCCATTTTCTTGCACTGGAACATAATTACATTAAAATAAATGTAAGCAAGCTAGATATTAAGGTGAGTGTGAGACAAGGTCACATTTTAATCATACTGAATTAGCAACTTAGGAAACAGAACTGAAAGAGATCCCCTGGGTCAAGCTACAATTACATATGAGTTGTTCTTAAAACTTCTCTAGCTTTATCCAGAACATCACTATGAAGTTTTGGACTCCACTGCTAGATAATCCAACGTTGTATTTTATGAAACAATTTAACTGAAACATAACTTTGCCATTTATTACTACATAGAAGGTTTTTACCTCTATGGAAGACAAAGAATTCTGGGCTGCTTGCTAGCACTTAATTCTCTCTGTAAGCGCATGCTTCAGGCAAGACCTTGTCAGAGGCCAGTAATACAGTGAGTCCATATCATTAATGATAGTTCTTTTGAGTGGTTTTTAATGAGAGCCTACAAGCACCTTAATGCCTTTTGGCCTTTTAATGCTCTCCCTCCCTTGCTTATTGCAGTAGCTTAACCTACTCAGCGCACCAGAATGGAGCAGGAGTCGACCCTGGGGATGCAGCAGGCATTACATTACTTCACAATGGTTTCTGAGGATTCTCAAGAGAAGGTGTAATTCTCAACTTGGAAAAGACAAAATTCTTGCTGATAAAAAAAAATACTTACTTTGAAAATCAGTAACAGTTTTTGTTTTTTTTTTAATCGAGCACCTCAGTGTTCTAAAGACTAGACAAACTACAGCTCAGTCTCAGAAAAGCCTGAGAAAAAATCACATCCTTGTAGCCTTTAGACTTGCTTACTGTATTTCTTTCCTAGCAGAGCTTCTGGCCCCTACACTGAAGCAGAAGAACTATCAGTGGTCTAAGCAGACTCTTTTGCACAACACTTGCCCTGAACTCTTCACGTGGCTGCCTATTAATTGATAAACTAATCTGGCCCAAGATCTGTATACAGTTCTGCCTGTAACAATTATGTCTAGTTACACTATGACAACATAATATTTTTTAAGTACTTTAAGGTTTGTATTACGTTACAATTAAATAGGGTAGTGTTTTTGCACGCCCTCTGGGATGGCCTATTTGTCTAACACAGGGAAGGAGGGAAAGAAGCAGACTCCAACTCTGGGCACAGGTAACAAGACTCTGTAGTCCAGAGAGAGATACAGTGTTCCCCAGCCTAGAAACTCTTGCTCTGAATTGTCTTTCCTGTCTCAGGACAAGCCTCGGTTTGTGCCTTCCAAGTCTGAACTCAGTTTTTGTGACAATTTCCCAGTTCCCTCTGCTCTTTCAAGCAAGAGCAGCGGTTGAAGAGAGGCAGTTTTATGAAATATCTGTAGCACAGCTTAAGAAGGATCTCGGTTTTACAACTAACTTTTACATTACTGGTGTGCGCAAGTATAACATAAAAGCAAAACGTTCTGGTAATTCTGAATGGTATTGCCAATAAAATATTAGTTATTGCACATATATAAGGCAAGTTCATTTATTCCAGTATTTCCCTTTGAACTAAATGATAAAGCTTATTTGAATTCTTGCTGTTGTGAGAACTAAGCGTCAAAACCTAAATTTAAGTTTGTTTCTGAAGTTACATCTTGTGACCTAACACTACCACAATTAATAATTTTTAAAGAACGTTGGGAAAGTGTCTGCATTTGTTATTTAATATTACTTCTATATTTAGCTGGTAGTTAAGTCATAACAACAGATGTTCTTCAGGGAAGTGCAGAAGAAGTTACTGAGAAGCATTCTAGCAAAGGATATTTTGATTTGCCTCTTGTGCCTAGACGACGGGCCTTCATGTTTGGAAAGACATTTTTCATGATCTTTCCAAAGTCAGCAGCACTTAATGGGTGGTAGCCAAGATTGTCACAATAGCTCCTGCAACAAAGAGAAAGAAAGCGTGAATGGAATCAAACTTAATACAAGAGGCCAGCCCGCATGATAGACTCCATCAAAGGTTTTCAAAAGAAAACACTTATACCCATCCATATTTAGAACCACATTTAACATTAATGAAGATATCCACATGAATTAAAAATGTATAAACAGAGCTATTAATACCATAGTTTTTGCCTTGTTCTCTACTGAGTTCAAAGACAAGTCATGTGGAGACATAACAAGTAGTGGCATTATCTAGAGCACAGTTAAGATTTACTCCACAACTTAGTTTGAAGCATATGTTTCAATTCACTTATTTTAGGACATAAAAAAAGCAGAGATATTGTTCTAGCCAATAGTATAGATTGAGTGTGGTAAGGCCTGAAGTACTGCAGGAACATTTGAAAAGCAGCGGGCAAGAGATTTGTCAGTGTCTAGAGAAAGATTCTGCCTACATAACCTCAATTTAATAGAGCTTAACAGAACTGAATTTAATAAAGTGTACCTTCCCAAGGACCCAGCTTCACCTTTACAGGTGCAACAAACGTACTGAGGACCTAGTCCTCTTACCACTGTACCACTACTGAACTATGAGAGTGGCTTAATTACAGACATCCTTACATTCATTAACAGGCCTAAATTAACAGAGATTTCAGCTGCCTCTGCAAACACAGATCTTCGCACAACTAAGTTTACAACCTGATGATATAGGGGAACAAAGCAACAAAAGGTAATTATTTTGCTAAGTTTACTTACTCTAGTAAGATTCTATGAAAATGGGCACCGTTATCTGTCTTCAGTTCTCAAAAAGAGCAGATGGAATTTTGTTTCAACATCTATTCATATGTTTTAACATCTGAGATATTTAAAAAATACCTCCTTGAGGCAGAGAACAAGGATTGTTAATTTTGCTGCAAAACGTGAACGTTCTGGAAAATCACAAACATGTGAAAGCACGGGAGAAAAACCAGGAACTGTGGAAGGTTTACCTACACAGCAAGTGCTTAAGGCTGCACAAAGATATGAATGCCATATTCCTTTTGTTCAAGAGCCTTCTGGTATTTCACAGATGTTAATGTGCTACGGGCCAAAACATACTGTTAAAGCATTCTCATTCAGATTTCCTACAGTCACAGAGTCAGCACCAGACAGCAATGACCTTCTTTTCCTGCGAGAAATCCTACCAGCAATACACAAAAACAACCTGTCTCTGAAGAGAAGAGGTGACTGTACATGATCCTGTGTGGGCATCAGGAGGAGAGCAGAAAAACAATAACTTGATACACCACGTTGCCTGCTACTCTAATCAGGTACATAAATGCAAAGTTCTGCTCATAAAGGAACAAAGACAGAAAGAAAGAAAAAGCAGCACTCCTAAAATAGATGTTTCATTCCCAGCACCGCCTAGTAAAAACAGTAACAATTAGTAATGGCATTTGCATCCAAGTAGGCCAGTCAAAATTTCTTCTCTGAAAAGTGCAGCTCTATAGAAAGCATTATATATTCTTTGAGATACTTCCACTGCATTTATTTTCTCTGGTAAAACACTAGTTAGTACAGAGCAGGTATCTGCTGCTTTTACCTTGGCTGTAATGTAGGTATCCTCTACTTGCAAAGCACCACCACAAACGTAATGATTTTTTTGATAATGATAAACAACAAGATTTATGCTATTTGGTTCTGACATTTCCCTGCAGAGCTTGTGAACACCTGCTTCCCCCAGCTACCAGGTCACTCTGTCCAAACCAGGAGATATTACCTACAACCTGGTATACAATCAGCCATGAGTCTAGTTTCTGTATGAGACATCGAGATTTTTATCCAATTTATATACCAACATATTTCATTTCAATGCCTGTCAGTCACAGACTCTGGATTCTGGATACATCCCTCTGAAGTTAATACAAAGGAATACTTCTGACTCGCTGCACCTTCTTAGGAGTCAGGCATTGCTTTATATGCAATAGATCTCTGTGTATGTTGTTTTTCCTTGCACCTTGCCAGGCTCCAGTAGACTTTAACTTTACTCTGAAAATTCCTAAAAGGTGGGTCTTTGTCATTTACTGATGCTGATTACAGGACTTCTAGTCTCGACTAGCAGGCAAAGGAAGGCTCTGTGAATTTCTCTGCAACAGTCAGCAGTATCTTTGACTTAAACTCAACAATGTCAGCAAAACCAAATTTAAAAAATAACGCAGCAAAACAACAGGATTAGAGATCTACCAATCAACCAACTTTAAAGTTAAAATTATTGCTTCCCTACAAAAAAACAAAGGAAAAAAGATTCCATTCCCCTTGTCTAGCACATCTGTTGCAAGACAATTACTTGCTAGCAGCAAAACATACTGTTTCACAGTCCTCTCATATCCATACTAGTAGCTCCTGCAAGCTCGTGATTTCCGTGCTATCATCATCATTATTATAATGTAATTTCAGTTTTCAGACAGTTTATCCCATATGGCCCCTCCTCCTCCTGGCTCGGCAGAGAATCCTCCATGTCCATCTGTGGTCTCTCATTGACTTGACAACACATACCAGGAGTCTCTTCCCTGAAGCTCTTCTCTCTGCTACTTGCACTCTTGGCACATCACTAAGCCCAGGAGCTGTTTTGCTTATTTGAAGGGTGGGTGGGAAACAGATGGGGGAAGGGAAGGTCTATGAAGAGACAGGAGTGACAATGGACACGTGGTTGCTTGCATTCCTTTGTGCAGAGCTCCCATACATGATATGGAGAAAAGGCCTTTTTGTTTTGGTTTGGTTTTGGGTTGGTTTTTGGTGGGTTGTTTTGGGGTTTTTTTGGCAAGATGTTCAAATTAAGACATAAAATACACTGGAAGTACACTTGAATTAAACAATAAAATAAGATGAATCAAAAAGCCAATGAAGACAGTCAGGCTATATAGCCTAGCTCACATAGCTTCCTGGGCAGAAAAACCATTATAAATAGCAAATGATAAAGAACCTCTTGCATGAAACAAAACAAAGATCTTGGCTTATCCAATCCAGCAAACCAACTGGTCTCTAAAAATGGTTTAGAGCACAGAACCTTAGGAAGAGGTAGGCTCCCAGTAAGCTGAACACTGGCACAGAAATGAGTCCTAAAAACCAGGTAGGATGGAAAACAGATGTTGAAAACCATTAGAGAAATGAAATTGCAGGTCAGACTCCCAAGAGCAGCAGCAGAGGTGGGAAACAACTGCTTTAGATGGAGTTCGATCAGCTTTTAAAAGAACTATATTGGTAGTTGCTTATGACAGAGGACTGGACTTTACAACACAATAGATCTCATCCTGTTCCTATCAGGGAGTTTAATATAAAAACACCGGTTAAGTGCTATCAAACAAGACTAGTATGCATCCTGTGTCCTTTATTTTACTTATCAGACATGGTATTCCTGTACCTACTGCCCTATTCTGTGCTAGCTTCTGAATATTCTTCTTCTAACTTATTAGTTAACATTCTTAACACTTAGTGCATGTAATCTATGCGTCAGGTGGCATCAAGTGGCCCAGCAACCAGTAAAGCAAGGATTAATGATTTCCAGACTAAAGGAAAGAGATACCGGATGACTCAAAGACCTCCTAATCCATATTAAGTGTATCAAGTGAATCTTCAGGGCATCCAACTTAAATATGAATGATTTACTTTCCTTTCGTCACTGCAGTAAAAGCAAGATTAAGAGGACCTGAGTGTTTACCGAAGGCTCAAGAAATCATTTTGTGGGCAAATAGGGATTTTGTCTGCATAAGTACTGCAGGACTGCACTTAGACTTGAAATCTTAATTCTCTAAACTCAGTTAAATCTACACCTGGCTGCCTCCAGAAGGGCATTTACTAATAGGGAGAAGATAGCCAAGTAAAACTGACTCACAAGAAAACATTGAAATGATTTGATGGGAAGCAGCATCCATTCTCTGTAGGCTAGATAACATATTAGGCAGCTTCCCATAAATCCCCATAATATTTTCCAGATTGTATTCCCCCATAACTCCCAGAGGAAGCTGGGAGAAGAACCGTTATGTGCCCAACAGAAACACAGCTTCTTAAGAGTCCAACGTATTCTTTCAGGGCAAGTGGCATCACAGCACCAATAGAGATGAAATAGCTCTCATCTACCTCCTTTCTGAAATTCAGCTGCAAGCTCTCAACCTTCCCAAGTGCTACTGCCTTATATTATGATGCATTTTTCATTTATTTTATTCCTTTCAAAAGGGAGATGAATCCATTCACTTTTATCCAGTTAGAGACATGAATTCACAATTAAATAGAAGAGTAAAAAAACCAGAAAGAACAATCACTGTGTTGAATAAACTCAGCAAGAAGAGGCTACTGAAACATGGAGGAACTGGAAACACTATGAACACTTGCCAACAGTGGATGTGTGTGGAGTGCAAGCTTCTGTCTTTCCCTCCTCATAGAAAAAAAATCACATTAAAGGTGATGCAGAAGCCCAGGAGTTTTGCAAGATTTATTCTGACCAAAATTTACAGCGGGAATTGAGATGCTGGTATGATTGCAGCACTCTTCTGAAGCCTTGTAACTTTGATTTATACATGCAGGTGCATAAGCTTGTTCACTCTGAGCTCATGCAATATCTATCTTTGCACATTGAGGAGAGAACTGGTAACTTGTTAATATGACAGAAGTGAGTTTTGAGAGGTCTTAACACCCTCAGGTAAAGAAAAATGACTTATCAAAACTAACTCTCTTATCTATTTATATGCCTATTCCCCACCTCCCACTCCAAGACTACTTTTCCTTTGGTGTGCAAGAATAACTCATGAAAACATTAAAAAAACCTGAATGTTTTAAAAACAGAACAGACGCTTTCAAAGGAGAACAGATTCCAAACATTTGATATTTTCCTGAATATCTGCTTACCACCCTTATTTTGTTAGGAAAAAAATACAATACACAAATACTTGATGCAGCTACATACAAAAGCCATCCAAATTTCACACTCCACAATCTGTGGATGATGATTTTTCTGGGCATCTGCAGCTTGGCACAGCATGGAAGCCAAGCAGATTTGTTGCTGAAGCAGGCCATAAATTATTTAATAAGAAATATATTTAAGAATAACGCTTCCATCTCTCTCCTGCACAGCAGCTGCCGCTGTTGCTGTGTCTGCGCGAGCGGCTGCTGCTCGGGGATTGGCCACCCCAGCACATCTGTGCCATTGGCTATATTTCCAGGCTGCGTCACCACTCCAGTCAATGGCCAGACTTCAGAAATAGGTGTGTGCATGTTTATCAACCCCAGGCAAGCAAATGCCATCATGTTTCAGCTCAGAGTAAAAAACTGACCAGAGTGAGTTAATTAAAAGGAGGTATTTGTAGAAGGCAACCCTGGAATAAGAATTACTAAGGGCTGAATCCTGTAGGCACTTAGGAGGTGAAGGCATTCAGCTCACTGCAAATTAGTGTAATTGTTCAGATTATGGAAATATTCATATTAGATCATAAATCTGTTATCCATCTTCAGGCAATTGGGTTGAGGATAATTCCTCCCCCCTCCCGCCGTGGGCAATGTTCTGTAAATGAATTCAAATCCAACTTCCGTCAGACAGCTCCCTCTCCCTTGCTTCTAATCGCTTCCTCGTTACACGGCAGCTTTGAGACTTGACAACACAGACTCACAGTGGCCTTGGTTACTGGTTTCATACATATTCAGATATATTGTGCCTCTGTAGAAATCAGGTTTGCTGCATGAAGGTCCAATATTTATGCATTATTCTGGGAAGGTGTGATGGACTAGATCTTATGTGCAAAATAGCTGCACTTCCAGGAGGAACAATTCAACCTCTCATCCTTGTTAAGGCAGTCATGTACATACGCATATACAAGCAAACAAAAACACACTCTAAGATACTAACTGGTGCTTTTTATCTGTGCTGCTCTGTCCACAAAACAAAAAACAATATTCACGCCGATATTTACTTGTTAAGAAATACTTGTACCTTTTCTTCAGCATGCGCAAAGCACAATTTAAACATCACAGTCTTATCTTCAGCAGCAGAAATAATGAATACAGCTTGCCTCACTGTAACTAGCACGTTCTCAGGTACTTTAGTATACAAGGCCTTGTTCTGCTACATGCACTTGTACATGTACATCAGTGTTCCTGTAGAGCCAGTGTCCCGGAACTATCTACGCTCACTAAAGCCGTATGTATGGATCCAGTCTGGGAGCACTTACTTGTATTCATCATAAACCTCCTGCTTGGGAAGGGATGTCTCAGGGTGCTCTTCCAAGGTGTTCCGTATCCATGAGAAGGCATGCATCTGCTGGGCACGGCTGGACGACATGGAGATCTGATCGCTAGTGAAAGAAGAAGCAGTGACGATGAAGACTTTGTTCCAAAGCCTCTCCTTATTTACAAGACTTAATAACTGCCTGCCTACACAGATGGACAAACAGCAGAGACAAACAGGCCTAGTATTTCACACATCTAGCTATACCTTGAGGCATAGGCAGTAGTTATCTCCCTCTTTCATCCACATTTTAACACGAAGACTCCACGCTCCAGTTCTTGACTGATATGCAGCCACAAGTAGACATGGTAGGTAAGAATTCACCTGCTTCACCTCTTAAAATTTCTTGTTCCTTACTAACCACCTCTAAGCTTTTGCCAACTCAGTTTGCCAGCTGCCCTTTGGAAACAGCCAACTTTCCAGCAGATGCTCAGAGTGCTTCCTGTAGGCAGTTGCCCACTGGGAATATATACTAATTTGGTAACATTGTGATCTGCAGGTTGGTTTCTAGACCTTCCTTTAGTCAAACAAATGTTACCAGAAATACCATTAGTTCATTCTTTCCACCACCATCACATTTGTGTTGCTACATTATCACTTCCCACAGAAAAAGCAAAGGAACAATCACACTTGGTCTGCAAAACACTTTCTCTGATGACTCTTGCATTTTAGGAGATTTATATTTACAAGGTATTCATGCACTAAAAATTCCTTTTTTTTTTTTTAATAAAAATAATTTTTAAATGTTTAATAAAGGCTGCTTCTGCTACCAAACACATTATGTGAATGGTTCCTCAGCAGATAAGCGCCACAGGGAGTTTTGAGTACTAGCCACTGACATTTACACACTAACACACATACCTTTTGTCTCCATTGTTGGGACCCGAAGGCAGCTGAAGGTAGAGGTAGAGTTTCTCTAGGTCTGTAAACTTCTCAACTTCTTGCTAGATAACAAAGGTGTTTTGGTTAAAAAAGAAGGGTGGGGGGAGGCAGGAGAAGAAAAAGCAAACAAAAAGAGTTGAGCTTGACAGCTAGAAACTGTCATCTAACAGTGTATTCCTAAATAATACAATTTTAAACAAGACAATATTTACTTAGATGAAAGAATGTGACTGAGCACTCTGGGACTAGAAACACGATTTTCTATTTTATTTGCACACCATCACAAACTAGAAAGCACTGGTCACCATTACAAAATTCATGTGCAACAAAAGCAGAATCTGGAAAACTGTCAATAACACATCACTTCTGTAACCAGACATGTAACGTGAAAACATTATCTTCTCAGAGCACACATGAAGCACCTCTGAGAACGCAGTATCAAAAAACCAGCTACGCTGTAACAATGCAGGATGTCAGACCTAATCCATTATATATTAACAGGTATGCATCACAGACTTCACTTAAGACATTTTAAAAATCTATCTATATACATATGTATTTTTTTGCTTCCTCTGGTAGTCATAGTTATCAAACGGGTACTGAAGACAAGACACTCAGTTAACAACAATCTCAGTGATGCCAGACTCCTCCTCCAGTGGTTCCCAGCTGAGGATCAGACTCAGGGGGGAGTTTTACCTGGTGTATGCAAACTGTGATTGCTACAAACAAACTAGCTTTTGGTCATCTGAAACCAGCTACGTGGACTTACAAATACTAGGAAAATCAGTTGTGGTAATACACTCAGGCCTGCTCAACAGCAGCAGGAGCAAACATGCTCTCCCTTCGGGAAGACGCTACAGAAGCAAGGCATGAAGTGGAGCACCACCAGTACAGAGTCAAAGACTCCCATGATCCCTTTTCAAGTCAGAATACAGCTTCTGGATTACAGTTAATTCTCTTTTCCTTTACTGGTGTCTTACTGTCAATATAATCTTTTTCCAAAAGGAAGAGGAAAAAAGAGAGGAGGACCAACAGGTAGTGAAACCTGGCTGCTTACTTCAGCAATGAGCAGAACGGATAGTGGGGAAACTAAAAACCTAAACTTCAGGCTTCGGCTCCCTACCCACCCCAGTCATGTCCAGACCCACCTCGCTTCAGCTGGCACACAATTAACAACAGTACTAGAGAGGTGAGCTCCCACTTCCCCTCTGCTGGCTTTGCACCCAACACAGGGGTCCCCTCCCTGACCCCCGACTCTGGTCAAGGAGATGTGCTGTCCAAGAAAGAGCACTGGGAGAGCACAGAGGCTCCTAGTCCCCACCGCAGAAGTGCTCCACAGAACTGGGCCACCCGCGATGCAACAGACACTCTTCAAGAGCCAAAAGAAACACTTCCAGCAGCAGCCAGGTAACAGACACTGGATTTGTTGCTTTTATAAGCTGCAGCAAACCACAACATTTGGGGTTTTTTTCCCCTCTGACAAACTCCTGAAATTTGCTGACACCGATTTCTACATAGCTCGACAGCAGCTTAGACAGCAGTGGTGCTCAGACCACCAGATATCCAGAGAGGTATTTTTTTAATGGGTGCATTTTGTCAAATTCTCTGTTCTTCCTTTCCTGCATAAATCACAGCATTTAGGCTGGTGGGTTCTCCTTTAACAAACCCATTATTGAAAAGATGAACATCCTTCAAAGGAACAATTTGCAGAAAATTAATCATTTTAAAATGAAAAGACGGAAATTTAACAACTGCAAGCAACTTTGCACTTGGTTTATCAGACCTCCTCTTCTCTGAGGGACTTAGCTGCTTTTTGCTTTAAACAGCAAATACCAAAGCAGCACACCAAAGGACAGGGTTTGGGTGAGATTACCTGGCATGGTAAGCACTAAACCACGTGGCAAAAGCAGTCCAGGCAAAACAAAACAAAAAAACCCCCGATGACTCTGACACTGAGGTGGAAGATAACCTCTCACTTCCAAATCTAATGTGCCAGAGTGCAACATGAAGGATAAGGTTTTAAGAAAAACATTAAACTTTTCCTCAAAAAAATACTGAAGTAGTCTCAGTGCCCAGCGCAGCTGAAGCAGCTTGTGCTGTGTCCTGGCCGAAGGAAGGAAGGGCCTGTGGGGAAGGGCCCTGCCTAAGCTGTGGAGGATCTGCTACACACACCCTGTCCATCAAACCTCCTAATTAAAAAACCAAACTAATAAACAAACAAAAACCCCAATGATGTAAGTGTAAAGAGTGAATTTGACTGGAATTACGTTAGCAGAGCCTTTTCCAAAGGATGCAAGTGAGCCAGTGACTCCTTCATCAGCAAAACTGCATCACTAGAGCTGAGGATTATGGCTTCCTCACATCCTCAGCAGAAGCAGCTGGAAAGTGAGATTATCTCACTGTTTTCACTAAAAGCCACTCCTTTCCACACCTGGCCCCTGGCAGCACTTTCTGCACAACTCCTCCAGCTTCCAGCAATGGTTGTGGGGAAGCCCTGAGAAGACAGGACCTCCTCGAAACAGGAGAGTTAACACACAGCCAGGAGTCTCAGGCAGTTCACAGAGGTAATCCTACCTGAGTGATAATTAGATAAACCTAAGCTTATTAGATGCAACTGAATCTATTTAGAGAAAACCATCTTAAAACTGAGGAAGTGTCAGTCAGTGCAAGCAGATTCAGGAAACATCATGTTTTGTTTAGTTTAAAAATCTGTTAAACATTATGTTTTGTTTAGGTTGTTTTCTCTAAATGTTTCTAAAACTCTCAAAACTTGGGTTTACAATCTCAGTAAGCACAACCTCAGCTGACATCCATCAGTTCTCAGTGCTAAAGTTCTGGTGAATTCAGTAATAACACTGTTACTGCAACTGTTCAAAGTAGCAAAACTTTCAAATCATTTAATTCAATCAGAAAATAATTTGGGAAAGTGTAGGAACATTTCAGCTGGCCTACTGACCAAGAAGAAAAAGATTAATTCATCCTGAGTTTTCATTTATGCTAAATTGGATGCATTTGGAAATGAAAAAAAAAAAAAAAAAGAAACAAGAACACAAAATATACTATAAATTTTCTCCACCACCACCCCCCAAATAGGTCAACAGTGTGGAAAAAATAGGTCAATAGAGTGGAAAAGAGTCACAGCATCAAAAGGAAGACTGTGATGCTGCATCATCTTGGACAGATTTCCCTTTGTATAACCCATAAAAGCTTATGCTACAGTTGCTGTAAAACCCACACAGAATGTAAAATATCTGGGGAATCCTTAAAAGGATCCAAGTAAAAATTTTGCTTGAAGTTTCCCAACCTTCATTGACTGGTTCTATCAAATCAAATGAAGACTGTCTAATACTCCAAAGGCTATTTATAAACTATATTTCTTGAAGCTGCATTAGAAAAATGCATAAGCATGCTAAACTGCTTGCACAACTGAGGTGTAAAGCCATCACAAAGCATCACCTCTGTTACTCTTCTTTTTCACATGTTATATTTATCTCCTGTAACTGGAATCACATTAAATAAAAGAAGATTCAGTGAAGATGGGGAGCAAGCAGTGTTCATACTTATTTTCACAACTGCTTCAATTTAGCCAAAAAATATATCAAGTATTCAAAGTATCTGAGTGGTCTTATATTCTGAGATAGAAAAACAAAGGACAAAGAATTAGAAACCTCAAGTCACAGCTAAGCAAAGACTTCCAGTGGCATATAAAGGAGCAGAAATCTCTGTTATTTTTGCTTAGACAGTTACCAAATATAGATAGTTCGCTAAAGGAACGCACAAAATATGTAGCAAACAAATTAAACCAGAGACCCATTTATATCTGTGTTATCAGTGGCCACATAGATCTGCTCCAAATGAATCTGTCCTCTTGCTGTCTAAGACAGACACAGAACGAGGATCTCTTAGGAACAGAAGCAATTTTCTTTTTCATTCTAACAGGCATTTTGATTGAGCAAATAAACAGCTGTGAAATAAACCAGGATGGCCAAAATGCTGGGGTTTTGTGGTTTTGGTTTTTTTGTTTTTGTTTTGTTTTTAATGAAAATAGCAGGTTTTGACATCTGGTTCCACCCTGAAAGACCCTAACTGGACACTGAAACTTTGTGCAACACAAGGAGACAGAGACTGGTTCAACACAGAATGTGGTTAACAACCTAATCTGTGTTATAGGAAACACGAGTTTATTCATGTTCCTGCTTGAACCAGAGAACGTGAGTCTCCAGAATCACAGAATATCATTTAAGGTTTCCTGACCTTGGTGGATTGGTTCTCTCTACCTGGTTTTCCCTGAATGCTGATCTACTGTTAGGTCACAAATGTTAGGGAAGTTTCATGCTGAAGTTGTCAAAAGAGACTACCACGGGAAAAATCCAGGGAACATGCTTTTTCTGGATCATTTTAAAGAAGAAAGTATTTAGTCAGGCCAAATTTTAAATAAGATAGAGGAAGAATAAAATAAGGAACAATTAGCAGTTACAACTTCTCTAATGAACACAGTGAAAAAAGGCATTCACATTTTAACTATTTCGTATTTCCAAAATAGAGGCAGAAATACAGGTTATTTCTGTCCTCACTTTCTGATGAAGAGGAGCTGAAGGCCAGGGGCACTGCTGCAAGCTTTTTGCAAGACTACTATTTTAGAGAGCGCAGATTGATCTTAATATTTCTTACCACATTTTGAGTATTTATAGATAACTATCCTCTAATCGAAGTAAAAAAGGGCTATGCCAATGGCAATGTAACTTGTACCTACCGGCAGACTGGTTCTAAAACTTGTCATACTTCACCAGAACAACCATCTATTATTTAACAGCCACACTAAGAATAGCAAAGTAGTCAAGCAATCATCTCCCCACTTCGTGAATAGAGAACAAGAAGCAAAGGTTAAATAATTTGCTCAAGGTCAGATGGTTTGTTTGAAATACGATTATGACAGAAACCAGCTAGTATTTGAAACAGAATCTATTCTTCTAAAAAGCTGCTAATAAATATATCTGATATGCTTTATCTGAACAGCAGCAGAAACATATTTCAGGTGCTAAATATTCCAAACAACCCCTAAAAACATGGCAGCTTGCACTGACATCATCCAAGCACAGCTGCCAAAGCTTCACAGAGCTTCTGCCTGTCTCCTGTGGGGCCAAAAAGACAAGTGACAAGCTACCACCTTCTCCACAACAGGACCAAGGCACATCGCTTCAACAGATCTTACACCCTGCTGCCCACACTGTAATTGCTCCAGCCGTCAGCAGCGTTGGTTTTCATGGCCATTGATCCAGCACTTTCACCAGCACCGATCTCTTTTCAGAGGACTAAGGAAAGAAACCTTAATTTTCTTGCTGAGCGATTATATGGAACATATAATTTTAAAAATCAGGTTCAAGAGTTCACTTAGTATGTGACAATAAATATAACAAGCAAAGTCATAAGAGAATCCACTGCTAGACATGTTTACTACAGTTAAAAAGATGTTATAATGAATTTTTAATGGCTGTTTACACCACAATTCTTGCTAATTATCTTTTTTGGATTGCACAGCATACAATGATTTTCCTATGATCTTCCAGAAACTGACAGTATGTCAGAATGTAAGTGGTGCAGCATAATGAGTAAAAGGCAGATAACTTTGGTCTCTTGTAGGAGTAATTGCAGTCGCAGTGCCCTTATACTAGCTGTTTTCTGTAGTCCTCTGCTGCTAGCTACCTCCACAACAAAGACTATTGCCATCACCTTCGTTTCTTCTTCCCACTTCTCTCTTTCTTGCTATCCTGTGTTGAACTAGGTAGTCTACGTGTCAAAGAGTGGCTCTGCACACTGTGACCATGACTGGTGCTACCAAACACAAATGGCAACAAGTGTAGTCTGATTTTTCTCTACAAGTGCTTTTTCTTTTAAGATTGCTAGCAAACTGACCAAGTTTAAATGCTTTAAGGAATCATTAGCACCTCCCAATATGACTGAAAGCTAGTCTGAAATCTCTTCCTCACAGTAAGCAGGGAGACAAGGGACAGACATTGTCATGAAACTGATTCAAAGGCCCTGGAAAAGGTTTCTATCTGAACAAAACACATAAGAATGTGCACTTAAATGAAATGTTCTGACCTGCCCATAAGCTTGGAGTCAGGACTCTCTGCAGGCAGCTGGTACCCCAGTCACAGGACCACTCTGACAAACCCATACACATTCCACCAAAGAGGCAACCTGCTCATCTACTTTCTGCAGGACAAAACTGGACAGGAAGCTCTAAGAAGTTATTTAGAGCTACATAGTCATGGCCTTTTAGTTTAACATACTTTTAGACTCTGTCTTGCAGCTCTCAGCTTTCAAAGCATGTAAAAATGCAGAAACCATTTTGCCAGAATTCAGCTTGATTTTTATTTCCTGAAACTATTCTGATCTTGGATCTTTCTTTTTTAAACTACCTGAACAGCATTAGATCTACCTTTGCTAACCTAGAGTAGCCTTTCCACTGTTGACAGGACTCCTCTGAACACATCAGCAGGACAGACAAGGAGGCATCTGGAACAGAAAATTAGACCATCAGGACATTGCTGCTCTGTTCCAAGTCAAGCTATGGAGACCGCTTTGCGTCCAAGAGCACTACTCAGAAAAACAGCTTGTTCATCCAATGGATGAGACCTACACAAACCAATGGGCTCAAACCGATAATCCCTACCCCAGTACCCCAGGTCCGCAAATCTGTGGAATTTAGTGCAAGAACAGTCCTAGTGTAATTCCACTTTCTTAAAATGGATTTCCAAGAAGCAAATGACTGGTTAACCTCTTATTTACTCCCTCTCCAATGCTACTTAGGAACACCTACCCCACATTTCTCATTTTTCACCACAGAAAAATCTGGTGTTAAGAGTTTTGCCTTTTTGCCGCTGAAGACTCACATACAAAAAAATAAGATCTTAAGACACCTGCTTTGTGTCCACAAATGTCAATGAGGAATAAAGTGGACAAAAATGACATTTCTGCATTGCTGTTTTAGTTGGATGTATCCAAGAACTTTTAAGCATAGGCAAACTTGGGTCCACAGTTTGTTTCCAATACAATACAGCTTACTTTAAACCTCTTACCATAATAAATTAAGATTTTTTAAGGAAAGAGAATACAGTACCATCTGAATTCGCCTTTGATAATGTGACTTTAAGGAGTATTCTTATTTAGCTCAGTCATACATCTGAACAGATTCTATCTGATAGTATCCAGATGGTTGTCTATGTTATTTTTTTATCTTACCCGCTGGTACTTCTGGATGAAATGTCGAAGGTAGAAAGTTAGAATGAGCAGTCCCTTCCAGTCTTAGGATTTATGAACTCAGACTCTGATTTAAAGAAACTCACAATCTGCTCTCTATTAAAAACAAACAAATAAAACCTCTTTCTGAGTTAGTGCTAGATATTTGCTTCCCAGAAATAATCCCTTATCACTGTTTAGATCCTGTTATTTTAATGCACAAAGGAAGATGATGTTTATGCATTTCAAGGGCATTCCTTCCAAACCAACATTATCTCTTGGTCCCAAGTAGTACAGTAGAGCTATCAGGATCTGGAGTGTTGCACATTTCTGGGAAGGTACCTGAGACGGTGTGCAACTTTTGAGGTCAGCAAGATTAAAAGAAACAACCCAAAAAATCTGCTAATTATGACACCCACAAGATTTTCACAGACCAGGACATCAGTCTGCCAGGTTTTGTGCAAATGTGCAGTTCAATCTAGTTCCTTCCTCAAAAACGTCGTACTGGCCATGAATGAACTGTTTCAAGGAAAACACAACAAAAGCAGTAATCATTGTCATTAAAGGCCTGAAGAGCAATGGAACTTCAAGGCACAATTAGCTTCTTAATAAAATCATGCTTGCAAAAGCAGGAAGTGACTCTTCTCTGCTGTATCTATACTGACAGTTCTACAAGTGGCAATGACAGCCACTTGCCGCTGGCAATGAGAGGTCAATACTTCCACAGAAAACAAACACCAAACCCACATCACGTATTTTTTTGGCAGTGGAAACTAATCTTGATCACATTTAGTAGTAGTGCCTTAGAGCACTGCTAAGGAAAGGCTTCATAATAGCTCTCAGTCTCCAGAGCTACCTATTTTATTCCTGCAGTTTATTAAATATTAAAAAGCATTCTGGAGTTGTACTTACCAAAATGCAGTCCACTTTAGATTGTACAGTTTTGCTAGATGTGAGGAAAGAAAGAGAGAATAGAAATCTTGAATTAATCTAAACAGCAATAACAAAAATATTACATATTAGAATTTCTATCACTGTATTACAGGTTTAGTCTCCTGCTGTGAAATATCCTGCTAGTCTATGGAAGAATACTCATCCAGCTATTTTTTGGTAGAAAGTCACTCCAAACTTAACTGCTTGTTAGAATTCTTGCTGTTTTGCTCTTTTATACAAGAACTGTATGTTTTTAAAGAAATATCATTGCAACTAGGAGCTATTATCCCAAGTTGCAAGGCGGCCAGGATGGATGTCACTACTTTTATTGTAAGCTCTTCCACAATTCAGATGCATTTTACTTGTTTGTCTGTAAACACAATTAACACCCCCCTCTCCCCATGCTTCAGTAAATCCCATCACTTCAAGGTATTTATTTCTAGCTTTCCAAAGAGCTGCTACAAAGCAGACAATTGGGATCCCACTGGCAACTTAGGAGTTTTCCACATTAGTCTCACTACCTCCCAGCTGGCTTATTAAGAAGACATTGGGTGGGGAGTGAATTAAAGTATGCCATAAATGACCTCAGTACATGTGCCAAGGAGTGCAAACAGTATGGAACTTATTATACTTCATATAAACACACCCATAAGCAGCTTTTGTATTTGAGGGTGCTGTACTTCATGTGCTTGGTGTGACTGCATTAGTTGAAGGCATTTTATCATTGCTCTAAAGAAGAGCAGAAGCTTTAACATGCAAAAAACAATAGTCTACTGCTGGACATATACTGAACAAGCACTAAACAACTGTTTTCAGAGTGATTCTTCTCCCAGTAGAATAAAACACAATTCAATTTCCCGTTAACACCACAAGACATCTAATTTCCAGTTATTTTACTTTTGTACAGGTGCTATCACACACAAAGAAAGATCAAGTAAGGCATCTGATGGAAATACTAAAACCATAAGAAAGAAACAAGCAAAACAAATGGCTCTAATGACTGGTGGTGATAGGAAGCAAAGCTACTGAACCAGCATCTACTGTTGTATCAGATGCTCAAAGAGGCAGGAGCTTGGGTGTCCTGCAGGTTACAACACCTCATTTTGAAACTAGAAGTCTAAAAATCTGTTCTGCAGGAGTTGCTAATACTGATGCCCCTCCCCACACAAGAACTGCGTATAGTGGCAGAATAATTGTGTTATAGTGGCAGAATACAATAAAAAAATTCAACAGGTAAGAATATATGGCAAGTCCACTGAAGTAGCTATATCGGCAGACATTCACTTCAGCTGACTTTGTGTAGTAGAAGACAATCAGATAGGTTGACGCTCAGAAACACCAACAAGGGAGTAAAGCAAAGCTGTTAGGGATTTGTGAGAACAGGGAGCTAAGGACAGCTTTTCCTTGCCTTGGGGAAGACACATCTACATAGTAACTGAAGAAAGGAACTCAAATGTCACCTCACACTTCAAAAACCACCCTCTTACTAGGAAAGTTAAAAGACACCAAGCATGCAAACCTGCTGCTGCTAGGAGTTATCACTGTGTCTGACCCAAAGCTGACCAAAGGCCGACCAAAGTCATGCTGTAAGAGACAGCTGTTCCAGCAGCACTTCTTTCACCCTGGACTCCACCTCGTCCCACTGCCTCCTGCCCCTAGCAGGCTCCCACAATCCCCGTGATGCTGCAGATCCACAGCCGCTCCTACAAAGCGGCACTCGTGGCAGCAGGCAACAGGGTTCAGGCATAGGTGCCCATTTCTGCACCTAAACCTTTCTATGGCTTCATGTCATAGCTTAATGTGGAAAAGGAACATGGAGGATAAGAAGATTCAGGGCACAGGCAGATCAAACTTAGGCCAAATACAGCCTACAGACTTGCAGACGACATTATGCACTAGGCTTTTCAGGAGAACATGCTTCAGCCAGCCCCATTTCCTGTCCTGCTAAGTTCTGCCACGCTGTGTATAAGCACGCTCATTTGCATTTATATTTTCTTCTTGCAAAGAGAAAGAGGCAAGCTGCCAGTAGGCAACTGGGCAGGAGATCCCTAGAGCTGTCCTTTTATCTCCAAATATCAGTCTGAGTCAGTAAATGTAAACTCTCAAATTTAGTTCAGGCTCTTCCAGTTGTGACCTCTGCTCCTCCTGATCAACAGTGTCGAGAAGCCGCAGCAGAAGAGCAACAATAAGGCCAGCAAATACAGTTTCTCTGTGTTTCCATTTCGTCAACTGGTGGCACAAAAAGGATACTCAGGTTCATGTCCTCGAATCTGCAAGCAGATGTTGTGACATTTTAAAAGGCAAAGGTCCTATGACTTCAGCAGGGGTGTGATGTCTATTTTAACAGCAATTTTTTTCATCTCCTGCTCCATACTCCCTAGTATACTGGGAGGACATTATTAAAATTTGTTACTGGTAAACTGAGGCTTCTTTCACCCTAACCAGAACATAGGTTAACATGGCCTGATTCTATACAGCCTGCAGCTAATGACATAAATGCTTCTTATTTACTTTCCAGTGGAGCTGATCCACATCAAAGTCAAGCAATGGCAACACTGAGGAGCCAGCACTTTGACTGGGAAGATGCTGGGACACTAACCTACTCATGGTCCTGAGCACTGCACAGAAAAGCTCCATCTGGTGACACTGCAGGACGCATCTCCATCCGATCAGGAGATAAAACGACAAGCGACAAAGGTGGCAAAGGAACAGCCAACCCAGTTAAAATGTATTTGCCACTTTTATTTATTTCACCCCACTTCTTCCTTCACTAACAGATGTGTTTTGAAAGCTGAAATTTTGTTTACAAATAAATAAGTCTGCTTCTGTCTCTGCCAAATGCATCCCTTACCTAATTACTCTTGCAATTACAGTAACTGCAACCAGTAATCCCAAGAGTCAGGCTGAATCAGGTCCTACACCAAGCCGTTCCTAACATTTGAAGGCTGCTACCCACACACTTTGCAACATGTCTAGGAGCAGCTGCAGGAGAGCAGCAGGATTGATAGATGTTCTCCATAATGAAAATAACTGTTTGACTCTATAAGGGACCTGAGCCCATCGGAAAACTGAACTTAGAAACGGTACCGTAAGCCAACAGTCAGTATAGTTCCTCCTGGAGATCTGCTCCTGGGGCTCACTGTGACTCACCCTCACCTAGAAGTACAGCTGGTGTTCCTCTCTCTTTTGTAGCTCTTCCTGCAGAGAGTCTCCCTGAAGTTAAACTCATTCACTTACTGGATCTAAACTTAATTCAGGCTACTTCAAACAGTTTTATCCAGGACAAGAAGGAGCCTTTTCTGATTCTGAGAGTAGCTGTCTGTTAAAACTGATAAAAAAGGTGGCTGGTTTTATAGCTGCCTTGGATTTACCAGCTTGCACCAGATACTGACCCACCACACGAACCTGGGAGCATAAAACTATATATTAAAAAAAAAAGACACTATCACAACCAATGATGAAACTTTTGCTCAGTGGATACCACTGTGCAAATGCTTGAAAGTTAAGGCACATCAAACAACTCGAGGGATGTAGTCCTGTTCTACTGGCTACAGCAATGCTCCTCAAAAATGTTGACTCTGCTCCAAACACCACCAGTCTGGATCCGCCTGCTCACCTCTGAAGAGCTACCATCAGCCACTTAAAACCAATAAAACAGCAGAGAAAAGGGGATTTCTTAGTCTGTGGTTCAGAGAACCATGGCAGGGTGGCTCCCTGCAAAAGCCACGGTGTCTCATGGAGACTCCCAGTCCTGCATCCTCTCAGGGAACAAGCATTGGCTGCTTTGGGTCTGCAGCAGAAAGCCCGACTGGAAAGCCTCCATCCCACCTTAACAACCTCAGCTTTTGACTTAACCTTTAGGTCCAAGACCTTTGAAAGATTCTTGAAGGTAACTTTGGAAGGCTGCAGTAACTTCTCTTTGCTGAAGCCACGTTGACAAACTCCTGAAAGTATCTTGGGGAGGACGGGGAGGGAGGAAATCAGGCTAAAGCATTTCCTCAAACTGCTCTTCTATCTTATGCCAAAGTATGCATGTCTGCTTTCCCTGACCTATTTATGTATTTCTACTTGAAACAGCCCCATTTTAACAGCTCCGACTTGGCATGGGTAGAATGAGGAGTGTGTTCTCTCCCCAGGTGGGCAAGCAGGGTTTACTTTGCACTGAGGGAGACAGAGGGGAAAAAGCCAGGGGAGAAGGCAAGGAGGTGTAATTTTTTTCCAAAGTTACATAAAACCGGATGCTGCCAACCTTCCTCTAATCAACACTTTACTTTCAGGAATAGGTAGCTGAACTACACTGAGCGATAGGAGACTATTGTGTGACAAGAGGTGGCAGAATTCAGTTGCTCTGAGCACACTGAGTATTCCCCTTAACGTGGCAAATAGTAGAAGCCATATAACCACAAGGGATATGAGAAGCCTTCTGCCCGAGAGACCAGAAAGAGGAACGTGGCTGGGAGGGTAAAAGAAAGCCCTCAAACTTATTAGCTACTGTCTAGCTAACTCTAAGCCTTCTCAAAGCCTGCACAGCCACTAAAACAAACCCTTATCAGCTTTCCAACTGCAGATCATTCACTCACCATGAAAGTAGCAGCATAACCAACACTGGGGGGAGCACGTGCACAGTGACCACACAGTTTGAACACCCACCCACTCCAGTACCACTCCTGTCCTGGGACACACTGTGCAGAGGATGACACTGGCAAAGGGGCTCCCAGTTGTGTCTCCAGCAGGAGTGGGACAGCAGCACCTCCAGCACACTGCGGTTCTGCTCAGGCAAGGGGCCTCCCAGCCCCAAAAGTCACACAGGACACAGCTCTCATCATTCAGGCACTAGCAGTGGACTCAGTCCTTGAATGAAGGAAGCAATAAAAGCAACAAGTCCAGTTCGGCAAAATCTGGGGGACAAACAGAGCCACAATTTACTGTGTAAAATACCATAATGGTTTGACTAGGTGGTCAAACCCAGGAAGCCCAAAGTGATTTTTTTCACCATAACTCTCATA